ACTGGGTTAAAGCGATTCTCCTGTCTTAACCTCCTGAGTAGCTGGGATTATAGGTGCGCACCACGACACCCAGCTAATTTTTGCGTTTTTAGTAGAGACAGGGTTTCACCATGTTGGTCAGGCTGGCCTCGAACTCCTGATCTCGTGATCCACCCGCCTCGGCCTCCCAAAGTGCTGGGATTACAGGCGTGAGCCACCGCGCCCGGCCAGTACCTTTCTTTATCTTGGTCCTATCAAAGAAAACAAACTATTTTTACAACTCAGTTACAAGATGAATACTCTAAAGACAGAAATACATAGGAAACAGTTCTACCTTTTGAAACTTCTTTTCTAAAGTAATTTTTAATTGAAGGATGGAGACAGGCCAGGTGAAGTGTCTCACACCTATAATGCCAGTGCTTTGGGAGGACAAGATGGAAGGATCGCTTGAGCCCAGTAGTTAGAGACTAGCCTGGGCAATATATTGAGACCCCCATCTCTACAAAAAAAAAAAAAATTAGCCATGCATGGTGGCGCATACCTGTAGTCCCAGCTACTCAGGTGGCTGAGGCAGAATTGCTTGTACCCAGGCATTTGAGGCTGCAGTGAGCTATGATCAAGCCACTGTGCTCCAGCCTGGGTGACAAAGTAAGACTGTTTCTAAAATAAAAAATAATGAGGACTTAAAAATGCTTGCTTGCTGAATGAAGTGATCAGAGGTATTCCCCTTTTCCTTTGTAAATTGTCTTGGCCCTCTGAATCTACCTTCCGACTGTCTGTATCCTTAGATATTTAACAGACTTCTGCTTTTGCTCTGTGACCCTAATTTTGTTTAGGTTCTACTTGGTGTGAGTACATTAATTTTTGTTTTGAACGCATTTAAAAACTTAATTGTGGAAGAAAAGTAAACCAAAAAAAATGAGATTTTAAACATTATTGTTTTGTAGAGATGAGGTCTCACTATGTTGCCCAGGCTGGTCCTGAACTCCTGGGCTCAAGCAGTCCTCCCACCTCGGCCTCCCAAAATGCTGGGATTACAGGCATGAGCCACTGCACCTGTCCTGTTATTATTTTTGAGACAGAGCCTTGCTCTGTCACCCAGACTGGGGTGCAGTGGTGAGATCATGGCTCACTGCAGCCCCAAGCTCCTGGGCTTGAGCCATCCTCCAGCCTCAGCCTCTTGAGTAGCTAGGGTCACATGTGCACACCTCCATGCCCAGTTACTTTTTAAATTTTTTCTAAAGATGGGATCTCACTTTGTTGCCCTGGCTGGTCTCAAACTCCTGGCTGGTCTCAAGCTCTCATGCAATAGCCTCCCAAAACACTGGGATTACAAGTGTGAGCCACCATGCCCAGCTAAGATTTTTATTTTAGGTCCAGAACATTCTGTGAGTATTTGGTAAGAATGTTCTTCCTTTAGTATTAATCACAATGATGATTTATTGAGCATTTACTATGCATTAGGCCTTGTGCTCGACTTAAAGGCGGTTATAGTAGTGAACAAGATAGATTTGGTTTCTCCCTTTATGCCCCTAGTGAAGATATCTTACTCTATTCTATTGCCTCCTTAAGCCTATGCCTAGAAAAAAGGGAACATCAGCTATTGTCCTGAAGAGTTTGCTCGGATTCTGAGACTTTTGGGAGATCTGAATCCAAGTTCAAGAATCATGGGCTGACTGCCTTCAAAACATCTAGATTATTTATAAGTTTTTCCTTACTCTTCATTTTTGAATTATTGTCTTTGGGTTGATGCAGAGAAGGGAAAGACCATTCCTAGTGGCCCTGCTCCAGTTAATATCTGTGAAATTGCTTTGAAAGATGTGAAAATCAGCCAGGCGTGGTGGCTCATGCCTGTAATCCCAGTGCTTTGGGAGACCAAGGCGGGAGGATCACGAGGTCAGGAGTTTAAGACCAGCCTGGTCAGGCCGGGCGCCGTGGCTCAAGCCTGTAATCCCAGCACTTTGGGAGGCCGAGACGGGCGGATCACGAGGTCAGGAGATCGAGACCATCCTGGCTAACACCGTGAA